TGCTTTCTTGTTCACATAACAAGCATTACAATGTTTATTTTAAAATGACTTTAAAAATATTTTATTTGTTTAATGTAGGGGGGCAAGGTTTATGTAGGTCACTATAGTGCCCAAGGAAGCCAGAAGGAAGCTGGAGATAACAGACAGTTGTAGACAGTCAGTATGGGTGCCAAAAATCAAACTTGGATCCTCAGTGAGAGCTTCTTTTTAGCCACTGAACCTGCCTCTAAAATTGGCCCCTATTTAAATATAAAATAATAATTTAAGAACGTTTTTAATTTTCAAATTTTATGTATTTACGTGTGTGCCTGAGTATGTCTGAGCCCCATGTGTACGCAGCACATTCATTGGCCAGAAACGATAATGAGATCCTCATGGGACTGGAGTTACAGACAGCTGTGAGCCACCATGTGCCTGAGAACTGAGCCTGAGTCCTCTGGAAGCACAGCCGGCTCTCTGAACTTGGAAGGCATTTCTCTGGCTCCAAAGAACTTTTATATGTGATGCAAATGTATGAGTAAAATTTGACATCTAGATCAATTATTTTGTTTTTCATCTTCTTGTGTACATTGCTATAGGAAAGCTCATAGTAGGACATTTAAAAAGGAGATGATATAGTAGTGACAAACCTGTCAGGCAGACCCCTTAAAGTCACCTGAGTTTAGATGAAGGGGCCATAATACTCTTTCACATTCACCAGAGTGGTGCATGAGTAGTGTGCAGAGAGCTTTAGCACACAGTGTCTCATTCACGCCTTGCAAATCTCTATGATAGGAAAAAATGTATTTGAAATTATTTGAGTGAAATCTCTAGGTCAGAGGGACTTACCTTTGGTAATAATTTGATTGTACTAACATTTGGATGCACCCTCACCTCTTCTGTGCATACCAAAAGTAAAGATGGGTAAAATATCAAATTGGAAAGAAATATCTATAAGCTACATGTACATCTTCTTGTAGTACTAAGAGTGAAACAGAAACAGCATGAAAAAGTACCAAGTAAAGTCAATAATCAAAAGATTAATTTAGCTCTGATCAGACAGAAATGAATGAGAATCTAGAAAATGTTTCTTTAAAAGCAAAATCTCTGCCGTCATAGAAAATTTTGCTGCGGTCTAGGGACAGTTTGGTCACATAAACTTCAAAGTGGCATTATTCTAAGAATGAGCTATATGTTGGCTATCTTCCAACAACTATAGGGACAATACGAGGAAAATTCTTTGTTTCGTTTTGTCTTGTTTATTGACTTTTATTAGAAAGCTTTTTAAAAGACCATTATTAATAATTTTATAAAATACAATAAACTCACAGAATCGTGGTGAACACTTGGAGTTCAGTTCTAGCATGGAAAGCTCCAGAACCCAAGAGCTGAGAATGCTTTTTTGTTGTTATTTGCTTGGTTCTTGTTGTTGTTGCTGCTGCTGTTGTTTGAGACAGGGTTTCTCTATAGCTTTAGAGACGATCCTGAAACTCAATCTGTAAACCAGGTTGACCTCGAACTCACAGAGATCTGATTGCCTCTGCCTCCCAAGTGCTAGGATAAAGGCTTTTTCTTTATGGGAAGGTCCATTGAAAGAGATTGGTTTAGGACCTTGCTGCTAATTGCTGGAGTTTATGTTAAGATATTTAGGAGGGTTAAGAAGACTACGGATATAACTCAGTTGGTAAAGTGCTTGCCTTGTAATCATGAGAATATGAGTTCAATCCCCAGAACCCACGGTATGAACCATGGCATGGCAGCATGTGTTTATAATCCCAGCACTGAGGAGCTGGAGGCAGGCAAACCCTTCTGCTCACTGGACAGATAGCGAAGCTTGCTTAGAGAACGCCAGTCCAGTGAGAGACCCAGTCTCAAAAACAAAGTGAATAGTCCTGAGGAATGACACCCAAGATTGTCCTCTGGTCTTCACGCGCACGCGCACACACACACACACACACACACACACACACACACACACACACACACACACGTGCGCGTGCGTGTGCCCTCCAAGAAGTGAATTTTAAAACATGTCTGTAAAAAATGGTAACAAGAATGAACACAGACATTCTTAAATGAACCAACTGGATATCATATACAGAACTGAAAATATTAAAGAAATACAAAATCCACACATGATGGTGTTAAGAGTAATCAAAATTCTAAAAGTATGAAAGAGAAGGATTATGTATAACTTTAGCTGTATTAACACTAGCAGGAGAAGGAAAATATTGCACTCCATAATAACAGAAGAGTAAAACAAGAGGAGTGTGTCAAGGTGTGGTGAGTGAACCTCTAAGACTAAAGAGCAGAGCGACCTCTGTACACACACAAACTAAAGTTGAATAGTAATTACATAGTAAACGTAAGATTTAATCTCACCTATTACAAACTACATAGACTTAGCAATAACATCGTCATATACTACACACTTTAAATTTTAAAAACATCTAGCAATAGGAATTTTCTTCCAAATAATTGAAATTTTTTAACCAACCAAACATTTTGTAAGCAAAAAAGTGTCCAAAATTCTATCTTAGTTTTTTTTTCCTTCCTCCCAAAAAATACTTAAGAGAAGTGTTTGGACTGCCATGACATCTGGTATCACTAGGGAAGAAATGACATCATAAAAAATTCCTAGAGACAAAGAATAGCAAAGTTTATAGAGCACATTTAATTTGAGGATTTTTTTCCTTCAGCTGTCAACATTTTTCCTCTGTTGAGTTTTTAAGCTGTATTTCATATTTGTTATTACAAATAACTTTTTTATTATGGCTGACCTCTGTGAAATTTTGAGTTTTAAATTGTTGCTATTATCCAAATGGCAGTTGACTGAAGTACACAGAAAAGAGAATAAAGAACCCAGTGACATATTTTGGATGCTGGCAACTCTTGTCATCATTTAAGTATCACATAAAAGTACCAACAAATGTACTTTTGAGTGATCAGGGATATTTGTAGTTAGGTAACCCTGCTGATTCCTCTCATCCAGTGTGTAAATGGTTCTTTCTTACAGAGAACCGAAATTCTGCTTTTGGAGTAAAAAGGAACATAGTTTGATTTTAAGAAGGAGATGAACTGCACAGTGTCTGTCATATGCATTAACTCAAACTGCTCATCAGGACTGAGATTTCATTTAACCCTATTGTAGTCAGTCAGGAAAATATATTTCTATATATTTTCTTTTCTTTTTTTCTGGTTTTTTAAGACAGGGTTCCTCTGTGTGACAGCCCTGGCTGTCCTGGAACTAGCTCTGTAGACCAGACTGCCTTCGAACTCATGGAGATCCTCCCTCCTCTACCTCCCCAGTGCTGGAATTAAAGGCATGAAACACCACCACCCCCTGGCTTCTATATATTTTCTTGTGTGCCCGGGGCTTCCTGATGACTCCTAGCAACAACAGAACCTGCAACAGCTTCAGTCTTCTCTCTGCAAAAAAAATAGAGGCAATGATCATCGCAGCTTTTTTGGTTTTTCTTTGTGTGTGTGAAGATTAATTTTTAAAAGCAAGGGCTGAGCTACTCTGTCTGCTGTGCATGGCTCCCCATGGCTCACATTATTACGGTAATTAGTTACAGGCATCAAATGAGATAAGTGCTTCCAAAACTGTGAGAGCATCACCAGTTTGGCGTATGCCAGTAACTCCTTTGGTCTGTCTGGTGTAAAATTTGAATTCTTTTGTTGTTCTAGTTTTTCAAGCATGGAATATAAAACAGAGGAAACACATGTTATTTTATAGCTACATTAAAGGGTTAGGGAATTGTCTTATCTCTTATTTTGCAAATAAAGTGAAGGCAGATGGAATTCAGTATGAAATTATGACTGAAGTGAAAATAACTTAGGAACATGTTTTGGTTGCTGTATGTGTTCTCCCTGACTCATTCCAGCACATGCCTGCAAATGTTTTCCAAACCTTTTAAAACAAAAGTATTGTTCAGAGTAATTCTTGCCTTCAGCTGGTGTGAAGGGATCATGTTTCATTGTTGTCTGTTACATTTTGGGCCAGAGTGGTTATAAAACCCAGGTGGAAGGTTTAAACATCAACCTCAGCACAACCCAAGGCAAATACCCAAATCCCAACTTCCCTTCAGTGTGACTAGAGGAGGGCCTAGTTTCATCTTGCTTATAAGCAGCAAGTCTGAATAAATGGAGTGTTTTGTGAAATTTGGAAACAAAGTCTACCTAATATTGGATTCTTATTGTTACAGTGACACGGAAGCATGCAAAGCCATGGACCAACTTCTGCTTCTTCCTCAGTGGCCTTAACTGAAGTTTGCTTCTCTTCTCCCAGACAGCCTGTGTCTGCATACAGTCTGCCCTGCTGTGTTTTTCTCTTTGGGGGAATATCCCAATAAACAGTTCACATCGTTTTGATTCTGTCTCTCATCACATCTCTATCTCAGTTCTGAAGATAGAATCTAGGACTGCACACACTGTGAGGCAAACTGTCTACTGCTGAGCCTTAACCTGGCTCTCGGGGCATCTGCCCCGAAGCAGCTACAGCTTTCTTCCAGAATAATTTAGACCTGCAGAACCTCGTCTACTGATATGGCTTCCCCTCCAGTCGCCTGGTGCTTTAGTTCCTAGCTTCCTTTCATTCAAGCACACACATGGCTGAGTTTCTTTACCAAAGTTCCAAGTCTTCTCTTATTTAAAGCCCAGAATCATGAATGTGTGTCTCTGTCCTAAAGGGTTCATCATCATTCAAACCTCCATTGCATGAGAAAATCACACACGTCCTGAGGTTACAACTGCAGGTGACTTCTGGTGAGCTTTGTGGTCACTGATGGCCTTGAATTTCAGCCCCCACCCCATTCCAACTGATGAGGAAGCAGCCACTTTAAGGATATCTGGGGTGAATACTTCTAGCAGGGTTGTTTGTGTTGGGGATCTGAGCTCTTTCCGTGGGCAAGGGGAAGGAGTTAATGTATAATGTGTATCTTCTCCGCTTTGCATAGAGCCACGAGAGGTTTTGGCAACTATATCAGTCCCCTTTTTGAGCCTCATCTTTTTCTTTGTAGATAATATTTATTGTTGTGAAGCCTTTGAGCTGGTCATTTACCAAGACCTGCTTGCTGGGAGAAGACTCTGAGTGGGACATCTGCTGCGACAGATACTGTATCAATGTTCCCATCACAGTTGTCAGAAAACAGTGCCCTGCAGTGAGCCAGATATGTCTTCCTGGGGATGACTTCTGAAACCTGAAATGCTTTCCCGTGATGTCCCCTCACAGTAATTGATGGATCCCCTTCCAGGCCTTGGGTTTGGTTTAGAAGAGTGGAGGCAAGGATATCAGGATATTGGAGCTGGCCTGTTCAATATGAACTGAATGTTTGCCTGGAAGAAGTGTCCACAGGGGCTTTTACTTGCTGTGAAAGTCCTGCTTGGGATTCTTCCTCTCTTTATTCATGCATATCCATTTCCTTTTCTGCATTCATTTCTCACATTTTAAGCAATGCACTCAACTCTGATTCATTGTTTAAAATGTTAGCTTCCTAAACTGTGTGAACCATCCGACTTGAATGCAGTGCCCTTCCCTTGCTGAAATTCACACCTGCGGAAGAAACTAGTTTCAGGCACGTGTACTGGTGCCCGATACCTTTGTCAGGGTGTTGGATTTGTGTGTCTTACTTCTAGTTGGATGATGTAAAGACAATAGGAGAGGAAGGAAGACAATAGGGATGTGAATGATATACATGTCTTTTGCTTTGGATGTACCATGTTCCCCGCAGGCTCAGTCATTGGAATAGTTGCTCCCGATCTAAAGGTGCTGCTTTGGGGTTTTATGAAACCCCTGGGAAATAGGTCCTCACTGATAGGTGTACGCCACTGGAGATAGAACTTAAGGGTTACAGGTCCTGGCTTCCGGTTCGGTTTTCTGTTTCCTGGTCAGTCATACCATGGGAGAAGCTGTCTCTGAAAATATCACCCCCCACAGACAGGGTTGTCCTAGCTGCCATGAATCCCCTCCATAATAGACAGTATGCATCAAAGCTGTGGTCCAACAGAAACTCTGCCTCCCATGAAGTTGCTTTAACCACATACTATGTCACACCAGTGAGAAAAGTAACAAGTACAATCCATTATGATGAAACTCATTGTTGTTTATGCTAACAAAAATTAATGAAAGAAGATTCCATTTCCTGACATGATGGATTGATCACATGACACTCCCCACCCCCCCCACCCCATCTCTGATCAGTCTTGCCATGTCCTGCACAGTAGGGTACCTTTCCATGCCAAGTGATCGCAGTTATGATGTGCTTTGCCAGATAGAAGTAAACTAAGCACACACACAAAGACAGATACACAGAGAGACAGGGAGACAGGGAGACAGAGATATAGGACTAGAAAGGTCTTCAGCTCCAGAACTGCCCAGACAGCTCTCCAGTTCCCTACTGGAAACAAATTGTTAAAACAAAAAAAATAAATAAAATAAATTATTGCTTTCTGAAGTACTGTGTGGCTTGTTACTAAGCAACAGTCAGTTGATGAACCTGTCAAAGGACTCTAGTGCCTTACCTAAACAGGAAGAGAACCCTCCAAAGGTCCTTCTCTGTGTCCATGAAATCACATCTGCAGTAGCTTGTAGAAATTAATCGTAGTGTTAAGTGTGATAGGAGCCAAGCATTGTATTGGATCTAAAAATAAAAGATAAAAACAATGCGACAGATCTTTTAGTTAGTTTCAGTTCATTGCTGTTGGAGAGGTCTCGGCATAATTGTCTGTTCCCTTCATCTGCTGCTGAACACAGCAAAAAGAGTTGAGGGTTTGGGGAGAGACCAGGAAAGGATTTTACATGAAGGATAACTACAAAGGCCAACTCTAGTTTGCTTGAAGAAAGCAAATGGATAGAAAGGACATTTTATGCTCCGTGTTTTGACTTCTCAGAGAAAGCAATCTTCCAATTATTTTTACTGACAGGAATTCAGTCGAACATGTTTTAATAGCCAGCTTCCTGTGTAAGTTTTGTTTTTATGGGGCTTGATATCAGCTATTGTCAAAAATGTGATACAATGATTAGTGTCTTACTTCTGATACAATGTTATATGAAAATCAGACATGCCTTTTTAGTTGTAAACTTCCTATGGAGACAGAATTGTAACAACCTCCTCCAACTTGACTCCTTACTTGTAAGTTGGCCTAGTTATTCAGGCATTTCTCTCTAGAGGGCGCCAAATCGCCTCCTCTCAGTGTTTCCTGTTGGCCGGTAAAGTCACGTGTGATTGAGAGCCTTTAGGTCCCTAGATATGAGTGGTTTTGTAAACCTCTTAGCAGTAGAGTCTTCACTTAGATGTAATGAGTGCAAAATTTACTGAGAATATTTTGTGTGGGTGTTACAGCAAAGGAGAGCTTACGAGAGAACATAGTAATGTTCCTTTAACATGGTTGCAGCAAGCTGTTCAGTTCAGATCTACCTTGGGCTTAAGGGAGTGTGTGTCAGGTAACCAGCAGACGTTGCTCAGATAGTGGAGTGTCAGATAGAATAGGAGTAGGGTGCACTCAGTGGACCTCTGCTTCCAGTTGGGTTGTGTCACCTTAAACTTAACTCTAAACCCTTAAAGTAATACAGATGAATATACTCACACAGATTCTGTATGATTACAGAACCTCCTAGAATTCTGCCACCATTTACCATCTCTGTAATTCATGATCTCCTGTGCATACCGACAGTTCTGCACACTTTAATAGAGGAAGTGGGATGAGGGCTCCCAATGGGCAATTTAATGGAAATTTAGGTAGTTACCCTGTGAAATTTTGGTGATTATCAGGTGCCCCCTAGGGAGAAATGCTTGAATGAATAAGTTGACTCATAAGTAAAAGGTTGAGCATGACTACATTAAAATGGTTCAATTCTGTTTCTATGGGAACATTTCAAATAAAAGGAATATCTAATTTTTATTTAAGATATAATATTCTGCCTAGCCAAAGTAAACACAAATTACTAAATAAAATATTAAAAAGATGCAACAGAAGATTCTAAAGTTTTGAGGGGAAAGAGCCAGCTAATTATTGAAAGGGATAAATACTAACAAAAATGTTTTGATCTTCTTAGAGTACACACGTTCTTAGTCTATAACGTTGGTATCCTACTATTCAGGGGACAACAATCCTTAATGAGTGAAGATACGTAGCCCCACACATGACGAAAACTCCTTGCTCAAGACATGATTGTTCCTTGTCTGATAGATGAACTGTACCATTCTAGGTAACATTTGTGTTTTTAGGACGTTCTTGATGCCAGAAAAGATCTCATGAATTCCCAGCTGTAGCTTTAAGTCTGCCACTCTGGGGTATGTTGGACATACCAGGTTACCATGCACATCAAGTTTCTTTTGGTTTTTGCTACACAACTACAATGTTAGTAGAATCTCTTAAAGAATGGGGTTCAAATCACTGGCTGTGACCATAGCTTTTTCCAATAAAAAAGAGATGTGTATGAGTGCTTGCTTGCATGTTTGTATGTGCACCACGGGTGTGCAGTGTCCAGGGAGGCAGAGCCCCTGGAACTGGAGTGGCAGGTGGTTGTGAGCCACCGCCACCACATGGATGCTGGAAACTGCACTCAGGCCCTTTGCAAGGGTAATGTTTTAACCTCTGGGTCATCTCCCCAGCTCTTGCCACTTTAACGATTTGAAAATAGGTGACATGTCTTATGCAGGCTTATCTTTTCTGAGGCAGCCATGAGCCTCTGCATTCTACCTCTGTACATTTTTCAGTGCCATTACTTTCCTTGCAGTGAGTTGTTATTTGTCCATACCCATGTTTTTCTGTCTTCAGGAACTAGACCCATTTCAAAGTCAATGACAAAGAAAGCCTTACTGTCTCTGTTATAAAACGTAACTACATTTACTCATTTGTTTATTTACTTATCGTAAGTGGGTGTGGGTGTGTAGATGTGTTTACATCATGATGTGCTTGTAGAGATCATAAGACAGCTTGCAGGAGTTGGTTCTCACCCTCTATCATGTGAATCCTGGGGACTCCATTCAGGTCATCAGACTTGACAACAAGTACGTTTACCTCCTGAGCCATCTTGTCAACCCATTCTTTATCTAAAATACTATTCTGTGAAGACAACTTAGCTTTCTGTTCCTTACTGTATGCTAGTTCTTATTGATCCTCAAGTATCTTTTTTATAAACACACTATTAAATAACATCTTTCCTTTGCACATTTATGATTTTTTTGTTTATTCAAGTTAGCATCTCATTTTAAGACTTCACTGAAGAGCAGAAATTCAGGCTTTGTTTACATATGGGAACATTAAGGATCCAGGTTACATCAGCCTGCTGCTCCCAGCTTCATGCTATCATCAAATGTGTTCGCATGGCCTAGGCTTAGGTTTCATTCATGCATTTGTTTAAATCAATGGCTTTAAGAGACTCATGATGTTTACTGCCATACACCACCCTCCAATGGTGTTTTGAGGAACCAGTTAGACATCTTATCAGATGCCACCATAAAATTCAGACAATCTTTCTATCTTGGGCCAAGGAAAAGGGAAACAAGTTTATCATGACCGGATTTGGTCTCAGTGATCTCTGCTGGTTTCTGGTAACCTCTGTTTCCTTTCCCACGAGCTGACAAGCCATCTTGCCACTGCATCTTCTACAATGAAGCAGAAAGTAAGTTGACAGATCCAAGACTATATTGTTTCATAAATTCTGTGATGGACTGTGTCTTCCCAAGTCTCTAGGCTCTCTCCACATATTCTCAAAGCCTCTGTCTGCAGTTGGTGAGTTTTCTCACCCCCACCAGATAATCTCCTGGCCTTGGCATTTGGGTCCTTGGGGTTGCTGGTGTGCTGTTTTAATTGGGGACCTTGATTTATCTCTTCTCAAATTTGGACTTACAGCACAGATCCCTGACAGTGATGAGGTGCTGGGAACAGCAAGTAATCTGTTCTACTTGAAGTGTACCATCACTACTTTTACTCTTAGAGAGTTCAGGGGGGACATAGCCCTTAAACTACTCAGTTAGAAGATACTAAAATATCAGTCACATGATGCGAAGGTTTAAAGTTTGTTTTTTTTCTAACAAGAATGTGAGGTCTCATTTCTCAATTCACTTCTAGATCTACTGTAATCTATCTAATGACCTCCTTTCTAAAATTAGTTTCATGAGAGGCTTTGATTGAGACCCTCCATATGATTCACTTAATGTTCATCCTCCATTGTATTATTGCCCAGCATGAGTAAAGACGATCATACTTACGAGTAGAGAAATAAAAACGGTCCTCTGGGGGCCAAGTATAGATTCATCTTCTCCATTGGTTGGGAAGCTGGGCCACACATGAACTGAACTGCTGATGTACAGTCTCTAATGGCTCTTCTAATGCAAACAAAGATTGATTCTGGAGGCAGGAAGCTGAAGGATGAGGCTTCCTTGAAAGTCTGCCTCAGCATACACTCAGCATTCTTAATTCCCTCTTAGGTAGACAGGTGCTTTGTAGACAAGAAAGCCAGCATGTGGCTCTGATTAGAGCATAGTTGGAGTAGGGAAATTACCACTTAGAATATATCCCTGCTTCCATTTATCAATGCCAGCCATACAGCTCTGGAAAGGCAGCTTATCCTCTCTGAGTTTCAGGTTTCTCAACTTTAAGGATGCATGAGTTTCCTTCAGCAGCTATAGCCAATGACCACCCTAGATGGCTTTTTTTCCCCTGGGACAAAAGCTGGATGCAAATCAATGGGTGTACACTCTATCAGGGGAGGGACTGTGATGCCTCACTCAGTGTGTTTAGCAGCACCAGGAATTTCTTGGGTTGGACCACATGAGTCTAGTGTCTGCTTCCATCTTCACAAGGCCTTCTCTGCTTCTCTTCTCTTCTGTGGATCTTCTCCTCTGCTCTTACCTTCAGATCATAGTTCATGTCTAAATACAAGTGTTTCCAAAGACAGCCCTCCTGGTTCTGAGTTCTAGATATTAGGACTGGCATGTCTTAGGGGAGAGGGTACCACTCAGCCTACTATAGCAGTAATCATACATTTGCAGCATAGATTAAATAAGGAAGTGGGAAGCATATGGGAAGCTTGAGAAATGTTAGTCATCATTTCATGATTACTAAGTCTCCCTTAATTTTGCTATTATGACACTTACTTTTAGGGGAGCAGACTACAGCCAATAGGAGGTTCTGTGATATCTCACAGATGAGCAGCTATGGGATTCCAGTTTGGATGCTTCAAACAGAGGAAAGATGTTTTTATCTTCCACAGTTTAGAAATCTTTGACCTTACGTTGACAGTTTAACTGCATGTCAGAAAACTTGTAAAATACAGTATACCTTGTAGATTTAGCAAGCTGGAAGCCCACTCATGATCAGCAATGTTAATGAAATATAAACACTGCTCTGTAGAACTTAGCACAAAGATGATCATTAGAAACAACTCATTCAAAAACAAAATGAGTGAAATATGTTCTGTGTTTGGGGCTTG